CTGATTATTCTGTGATTCTGTGAAATTATCTTAAAGTTGGAACATTTAGATTGTTGGATTACTCAATTTGTTGTTTTTAAACAAAGACCTTTGGAAAAAGCATCTTCGGTAAGTGCACAAATTTGTTTATGATTTTATGACTTTCTCAGAAAGACAAGTTTTGATAAGTTCATAAGAACTGGAGCAAGGGCTACAATCACGGAGTGGTACAGGTTTATGCCCTCAAAGCATCACCTTTGGTGTTAGGTGATGAGATCACAACAGTGGCTGAAGTTAGAAGTTCCTTACCTCAGACTCATAGTATGTGCTAGGGTGATCCGTTGAGCATCTTGTACGAGTAGGCAGTGGAGCATCAGGAATGTAATCGACATATGACAGTACATATTCACAGTGGAAGGATATTTTTATGAGCAGTTCTAAAGGTTTTCAGTTCATAAGTGGCAAATCAAAGTACAGACTAGTTAAATAACTTGTCCGAGGTCACTCAAGCAGTCTGTGGCAAGAGCCAGAAGTAAAATGTACTTTCTATATGAATGAATGTGTGAGATCCTATTTCCCCTTCCTTTCTATTCACAGCATTTTTATGAACATAATAGCTGTTTACTTTGTTGACAGAATCAATAGTTTGCTGAATAAACCAGAGAGTCACCTGAGACGCAGAGATGTTGGAAGAAGATATGGAGGTGGCCATCAAGGTGGTAGTGGTAGGAAATGGAGCTGTTGGGAAGTCCAGTATGATTCAGCGATATTGCAAGGGGATTTTTACAAAAGACTACAAGAAAACTATTGGTGTAGATTTCCTGGAAAGACAAATCCAGTAGGTATTAAGCAGATGACATGCTATTGTACCTTTACCTCTATTTCTTTCTCCTGTTGTAATCCTGAGATTTAGGACAGCTTGGGAGACAAGACCTGCTGTTTCTGAAGGACAGCAAAGGGAGTTGTTCTCTCTCTTGCACCGTGCATAAAATTAGATCACTTTATTCTCCATCCAAAATTTTGAATTTTAAATAAAATCTGGACCATCTGTCATGCTAAGCTTTTTGACAAGTTTCCTTTGTATTCTACCACCTGTTGGATATGTTTTTTAAGTTTTCTGTTGTAATTTCTTGTGGAAGAAGTGAAACTGCTTATGACAAAACAATTGCACAAATTTATTAGCCAATATAGGTGAAAATGTCTCTTGAAAAAACAATTGGTTTGTGCAGTATAAGCAGATAATACCAACATGTTTGCTAAAGTGGAATATACTGTGGTAATGAGAAATTTCTGTGAGTTCTGCAGGTTGATTAAAAAGAAAAAAGAACCATTATTCAGCCACCAAAATTTTGGTTTGATGTCCATATTATTTTTCTTTTATAGAGGGAAATGTGGAGGAAGAGGAAAATATAATACAGATTGTCAGTAAACAGCATATAATGTAATTGAGGGACTGTTGCCATAGTTTGAGATGAAGGTGAATGATTATTAAGTTACATTATGTTTAAATCCAGTTAAATTTGGCTTGGATTACTCTTATATTGTAGACTTAGAAGTATTTTTCCTTCTAGAGGGAAATGTAGAGGAAGAGGAGGAAAGGAGGATGAAAATGTAATACAAATTGTCAGTAAACAGCATGTAATGTAATTTAGGGACTGTTGCCATAGTATGAGATGAAGGTGAATGATATTAAGTTACATTATGTTTAAATCCAGTTAAATTTGGCTTGGATTACTCTTATATTGTAGACATGAAGGTATTTCCATGTCAGTTGTTTTGATTTGTTCCTGTTCATTGTGTTGATCACAGAACTGTGTTGTTTATTTCAGAGTCAATGATGAAGATGTCAGGTTGATGTTATGGGACACTGCAGGTCAAGAAGAATTTGATGCAATAACTAAGGCTTACTACAGAGGTGAAAATACATGTTTGTTATTTGGTACTTGTTGGGGGTTTTTTTGGTTTGCACATCTCTAAAATATTTTATTATCTTTGTATTAAGAATATGAGTGATCCCATGTGTGTGCAAAGCATGTGTAGTTCAGCTTGTTCAATTCTCAAACATTTCTCCCCTTTGTGCAAGATCCTTGGCTTATGTGCCACTTCATGCAGGATGCTCAGTAGTGCCCTTGAAAAAACATGGAATGAAGTGAGACAAAAATCAACACACACACTGTAGAGAAGGTAGACATTCAATCAGATGCAAATTTATATTTTCCCTCTAAAGTGTTTTCTTACTTCTGTCAGACATCTAATTGTAAATGTTCCAAAAACTATGGCTGAGGGACTTAGTCATTCATCCAAGAGGAGAAAAAATCCACCAGTCATCTAGGAAGACTTTGCTAGGCACAGCAGTTCTCTTGCTAGTACAGCCTGCCCTGAACACATGAACACATGAAAATACACATGAAAGTGTATTTACTTCATATACAGCCTGCCCTGAACACATGAACACAGCAGAGTAATAAGGAAAGTGTATTTACTTCATGAAATGAACTGTATAGGATTATAGAATCCTCAAGGTTGGAGGAAACCTCTAAGATCATTGAGTCCAACCATTAACCTGTCACTGCTGGAACCCCTAAACCCTAAACCAGATCCTCCAGTGTCAGATCCAGACACCTCTTAAACACTCCCAGGGATGGTGACTCCACCACCTCCCTGGGCAATTCCCTATTCCAGTGCCTGAACACTCTGATGGAAACCATTTCTCCTCACATCCAATCTGACTCTGCCCTGGCTCAGCTCAAGGCCATTCCCTCTAGTCCTCTCCCTGCAGCTGTGGCAGGAGAGACCAGACTTAATTCTATAGACTTAATTCTATAGACTTTGTAATTTTTGATGACATTCTTTTACTGTTGTTTGTTAACTTCCTGGTAAAACCCCTTAAATATCAGAATCTTGAAGGTCCTCAAAAATATTTCAGTTTGATTCCTATAAAACCATAGAAGAAGAATCTTAATGTGAATGTGGAATAGTGTTAAAGAGCCTGGGAAAACTTTCTCAAGGTAGATTGTGAACTTGGCTTTTTAAAATCTTAATAAAAGGAAACCTAATAAAAGAAGTTGTGTGGTTTGTGTCAAAGAAATACAGAAACTGACAGAATAGAGTAATGGGGTGAAACTCGTGGATAAACTCATCATAATAACTCATAGATAAAAGAAAATTCATATTGATCAAAAAATTTGATGCTCTATGTAATTTGAGGTATTCACCTCGAGATCACCCTGCAGTCTCAAAAATATTACCTTTCTATTCCTCTTACACTGTTACGAAGCAGCAAATGTAATAAAGGCATATCAATAATAAAATGTACCTTTCTATTCCTCTTACACTGTTACCAAGCAGCAAATATAATAAAGGCATATCAATAATAAAATATTTCTGCCTGTGGTGGTGTGCAAGCAAAAGTAGTTTCTTGAGGATAACAAAGGCCACTGGACAGCTAAAAACCCACACACTAATACTTCAGCTGTGGAAGTACCTTCTCTGTATCCTTGGGGTCTAACTATTGCTTAGGCTGTTACAAACCCTAACAAAACATGTATAATTTATCACAGTGCTGTGAAAGAACAGGTATGAATTAAAAACACAAATCATTTACTTGAAATAATCACAACTTCATCTGAAAAGTATAAAAATTTTCTGCTTGTCAAAATCCAAATTAGTGTAGCACCAAGAGTAACATGAAATGTGTTTTGCAGATATTGTGTACAGGAAAAAGACTTTGCCTTCTGGCCTCTAATTAAGCTGTCTGGAAAACAATGAGCAATAAGCAAACCTAACTTTTGCTTATTCCAGCCTTTCCCCTCCTGTTCCTTTTTCCTGAGTAGGTTCACCATGCTGGAAATAGCTGGAAAGGTAGCAGACCCATAGACATCATGAGGAGTGTGTGTAATGGTCAAAAGAACATGGCAATGTATTTTCACTCAGGGAATTTATGACCAGTGGTTTGGCACATGGTGGGGGTAAAAGTGCTCTTTTATGGGAGAAACCTAAAAAAAATCCCTCATGTTTGAAATAGATTGTAGATTGTTTCTTTTAATGTTTCTTGCCTGCTTTGTATTTGTCTATTTCTAGGAGCCCAGGCTTGTGTTCTTGTGTTTTCTACAACTGACAGGGAGTCCTTCAAAGCAATCCCTACCTGGAAGGAAAAAGTTGTGACCGAAGTTGGAGACATTCCCACAGTTCTTGTGCAGAATAAGATCGATCTGCTTGATGACTCTTGCATAAAGAAGTAGGAGTTTTATTGTACTATTTTCAAAGAGCAATACTTGCCCCCTGTATACACAAGTTTTAAAGTCTGTGGGAGTTTCTGGTGAAGACTTAAGGTTGTCCAACCTATGCCCTGGATCCACACGTGCCCTAGAAGCACAAGTGATGGGTGTTGCTGCACACCTATGCCCTGGATCCACACGTGCCCTCGAAGCACAAGTGATGGGTGTTGCTCCATGAGTGTAGGTAGTGCTTGCCAAACTAGGAGGAATAACATGAGTTTGGTTATGCCATGATATGACTCACACCTGGTTTTGTAATCAGAAATTTTAAGACTGTAAAATTTTTCTTTCCTGTTAAAATCTACAGTTATATTTAAACTGAGCTGTGCACCAGTGAGGGCACATTGTCTAGTCTGGCTAGTGAGGACTTGCTAAAATGCTGAAGTAGTATTAAACAGGTTGTTTGGAAAAGTATCTTAATATTCTTTGCTTCACTTTAATTTGGTTTTTTATTGTTCTTTTTGTGATCAAAACATTCTAACTCCATAGAAATATGTATGTGTTAATATTCCCAAACTGCATGGAGCTGATCCTTTCTTGCTGTGTTTTTATGTGTTAATATTCCCAAACTGCATGGGGCTGATCCTTCCTCGCTGTGTTTCGCTTTACAGATTTTACTGTTTGTTCTGCCTTTGTGTAGATGACCAATCTCATTCTTGCTAACTTTTCTTTACCACAGCATATTGTGTAGAAAATAGTGCATGATGAAGTTGATCATTCTCCACTTCTTTTTATTTCTACCATCTTCCTGAGAGATTGAAATGATTTCTTCTTTTTGTTCTTTCCTGCACTGGCTTTCTTTGTTGTCTGTTTGCTATCATTGATGGCATAAATCAGCTTCTGCTCCTCTGCAAAGAAGGATTTTTCAAAGGAAAAGCAAAATTGCATTTGAACTCCTCCTTTATTGATGGTATGTCACTTAGGTTTGGTTCTCAGCACACACTGCCTGTCTCAGTAACATCATCCTTCTGATGATGTGATTTCCCTTAGGAAAGTATTCATAGGTTTCTTCAAATTTTTCTTTAAAATTTAGCCGGAAAGTATTCATAGGTTTCTTCAAATTATTCCTTAAAATTTAGCATAAGTTCTTTTTCACTTCACAGAAACAAGTAATTCTTGATCTCACCTCTGCACTCACTGACTGCATAGTGTACTGGTTCAGTAAAATATACTTAAGGATTACTTTTGTCATTGTTTCGACTCTGCAGTGATAATTGTTCTGGTCCTAGAGCTGTTAATTACAGCCTCCTTACTTTTACTTTCACTGACACCTTTCTTCCAACCCTTGGGAGATTTTATTTCATGAAGTCAATCAATACTGAAAAGCAATTACTTTTGGTCCTAAAGAAACTGCATGTAAAATCCCTTCATTTTACAATGGACACACTGTAAAGGAATTCGGGATCAAGTATTTTTTTGATTTGAGTTTCTTGGCCCACTTTGCTGTATTTAATTTGCCACAATGCATTTTATTCAGAAGAATAAATGCTGAGATGAGAAATACTACAGGTAACAAAGTTGTCTCCTGTTGTGCAGTGAGGAGGCAGAAGCACTGGCAAAGAAGCTCAGAGTAAGGTTCTACCGAGCGTCTGTGAAGGAAGACCTGAACGTCACGGAAGGTAGGAGGTGCAGCAGGGTGGGTGCCTGTCCTAGCACTGTGCCATCCCTACTTTGGGGCTGCTCTGTTCCTTCCCACGTTGTTGCATGCTGTGGGCAATCCTTTTTAGACTCAGCACACCTTAAACACAGCTGGAGTTACTTGATATCAGTGTGTTAGCTCCATGTCTTTGTATACGTCTTTGCTTTCTATTCCACAAACAGTGCATAGCTGCAATATTTAGAGATGCCAGTGTGTTACAGCCCCCTGGACTGGGCACTGAGGAGGTCACAGCTCAGTGCTGTGCTCAGGTTTGGGCCCCTCACTGCAAAAAGGCCATTGAGGCACTGGAGTGAGTCCAGCCAAGGGCAATGAGGGCAGAAAAGGGCTAAAGCACATGGGCAAGGGCTGAGGGAGTTGGGTTTGTTCAGCCTTGAGAAGAGGCTCAGGGTTGACCTCCTGGCTCTCTGCAACTCCTGCCCGGGCTGGAGAGAGGTGTGGGATGTGTGTCCTGCCAGGGCTGAGGGAGAGGAGAGAGGGAATGGCCTTGAGCTGAGCCAGGGCAGAGTCAGATTGGATGTGAGGAGAAATGTTTTCCCTGTTGTGGTGTTCAGCACTGGGATATTGCCCAGGGAGGTGGTGCAGTCACCATCCCTGGAGGTGTTTCAGAGGTGTCTGATGTGGCACTGGAGGATCTGGTTTAGGGTTTAGTGGTTCCAGCAGTGACAGGTTCATGGTTGGACTTGATGATCTTAGAGATCTCCTCCAACCCTGATGATTCTATGTGTTTGTGATTCTAAGACTGCTTAGTCCCAATGACTGTCAGTAAGCACCAAGCTTGTAATAAAATATATGTAGAAGTCCAGTTATTACAGTAAACTAATAGTTGAATAGATTATTTTGTAATTGTCAATAGTTAAAAAATTTGATCTAAGCAATTATTTTACAGTTATATGTAAGTAAAGTACATTAAAGATTGCATCTCCTGCAGCCTTTTCTCTACTGGTGATATTTGGTTAGTTCACTTTTTAATGTATATATTTAATTTCATAAGAGTACTGATATAATTTTCAGTCTGTCTCTTGTGGGATGTGTTTGAATACTTAGGAATCACAGTCTCTAATGACTTTATTTTTGTTTAATTAGCCAAACTTAATAATAAACTCATGTGTTTCTTCTCTATCAACATCATTCACCTTGGGGAAAAAATCTGCAAGGGAAAATGTAAAGCACTTCTGTATCATCTTTACATGAGTTGAATTACAAATGTAAATAATCATAACACATAGAGGATCTGAAAATTCTGCTTTAATTGGATGTTTTTTCAGATCCCTAGAACTTTTTATACCTCAGTAGAAACGAGGATAGCATTACTTAATTAGAACAATGTTGCTGCCAGGTTTTATTAATAGACTTACTTTACAGGACTGTTATTACTCTAAGGCTTCTTGCAAACAATGTGTGTGTTGTCACCGTGCAAACTTTTGATACAAAGCTACTCTTATTAATATGGAGATTAATTTTAAGCATTCTGAGATGTACCTTTTTCTTTTTAACATTCCAGTTTTTAAGTATTTGGCTGATAAATATCTTCAAAGGCTCAAGCAACAGACAGCTGAAGATTCAGAACTAGTACATACAAGCAGTAACAAGATTGGTATGTATACTGTAATAAAAAAAAATCCAGAAACAGTGTTTTGTGCCATCAAAGCTTATGGTCTCATCTGTTTCCTCATGGAGTTAATACAAGGTGAATCAGGGTCTAATTATTACTTTCCTGTCTTAGGATATCATCTCCTTTCCTTCTGTAAATTACCTCTGTGGCTTTCTGAAGTTTTGAGGCATTCAGACTGATGTACAGAAGTTCTGGCTCGTTTGGCCAGGGCCCATTTATTAAATTTGCTTAAACAGGATTGTGTAAGGACTTGAGAAAGTTTGTTGGGTTTTTGAGCATAATTAGTGCTCGTGTTGCTCATCTTGGTGTAGACTTACAAGAGACTCATGGTGAAAGAATCTGGCATGAAATCAGAAGGGCTTTGTAAGGAAACACTGAACTTTTGTAGTCCTTCTTTAAGGCATTTCTGAGTTCATTTATTTTCCTTAAAGCACTCCTTTTTATTCAGGCCTTTCACTTATCTTTACACCAGCAAAGTTTCTGGCTTTAAAATTGTCTTGTTTTTCTTTTATGATATAAGTACTCGATTGACCATAACTCTGTGCAGTCAGAGTTGAGTGCATGTGCTGCCCTTCCATTACACAGGTGCATACCAGCTTTAAATACTGCCTGGCTTGTAATTGCAACTGCCTCTGTTTCCAATTTAGCTGCAAAATTGACCCAGAAATAGATAAAGCCTTTAAAAAGTTTGAGGTACACTACTGTGCCTTAGCACGTGTTGTACCTCGAGTGTTATTGTGTTATGCTGGTGAAAAAAATGAAATACAAATGCTTTTCTTGTCTTTAAATTCTGTAGGTGTGTTTAATACAGCTGGTGGAAGTCACTCCAACCAAAACTCTAGCACTCTTAATGGTGGAGATGTCATCAACCTTAAACCAAACAAACAGAGGACCAAGAAACACAGAAGCCCTTTTAGCAACTGCAGCATACCTTAGACCACTTTGGGGAGGAAATAAAGCAGCCCAGTGCATTGGATGAAGTTGTGCAATTGAATACAGAATAAAACCAGCTGTAGAGGTATTTTTCCCAGTGCTTTAGCAAATCTTGTGCCTGTGGGATCCTTGGCAGAGGGTGGATTTCAACTTGCTGCTGCTGTGGGTTTGGTGTGTGGCGTGAGACACCTGGTGGCAACACACAGAGCCGTGGCTGCCCCATGCACTTTTTGTAAAAAATTAGGCAAGCTTTTCCTTTTTTGAGGAGTTATTTACAGAGCTATGAACTAGGCATTGCTGAGCTATAAAGCACATTTAACGTCAGGATAACACAAGTAGAGGTACAGACCATAACACTATGGCCCAAGGGAATGTAGCAACCTTGCAACTGAATTTCAGAGAGGTTAGAAGTGGTTAGTCAGGACACTAAGATGATAAATGAAGAGCAAAAAGATACTGCTGCATTTTATGCCTGGCTGTATTCATATGGATTCTGGCAGTTCTGTGGGTGCAAGGTCCTTGCATTATATATATATGTGTGTGTGCTAAGATATATATGTCAACATTTGGGATGAATATTTAGGCTTGGTTCCAGTGTATACATTACTTGGAGATCAGGTAATGATCATCAAACAGCATCTTCCCAAAAAACTGTCCTTCAAAAATGTTGCATTTCTGATGAGGCTTTCCCAGCTGCCACTGTGTACATTTAACTTGCTATACTTTGGGCCTAAAAGCTTAGATTTAAAGATGTATGGTGCCAAAAATGCTCCTTTTTACCTAATGCTGTGCTACAGATGTTTTGTAAGTTTGTATTTCTCAGTCTCAACAGACTGAACAAATAACACTAACAGCTACCCAGAGAGAACATATAATCATAGTCCTGTTCCAGTCTGATTGTTGTAGCCTGTGTTGTCTATGAAAAAGGAACTTGCAAAGTGGAGTCATAAAGTATTTATCTTACTAGAAAAATTTTTCATGGATACCATAAGCTAAGTTATGGAGGATCCAAAAACTTTTAGCTGATCACATTAGTGAGACATTCCTGAATATTGCTGCAGATTCATAGTTAGCTCCTGGTGACAGGAAACCTAATTCTGCCAGTTCAGAGACATGGCAAAAACAATTTCAAAGTGCTTCAGTAACTTCACTTAATTGATAGAGATGTTTAGGAGCCAAATCTAATTTAAAGTTATTTGGGCTTAGGCTCCTAAATCACTAAGGTGCTTTTAAAAATGCTAAGCAAGATACCTTTTATTGACCAAAAGTAAACACTTTCTAATCCTCTTCAAGAGCATTCATGCCTTCTGCAAACTATCCATTTTGTTTACATGGTTTTGTATGGTGTGATGTACTTTTAACTTTCTAAGATTTCTACGACAAACCTGCCATGACAAATGCAAAAATATGCTGCTTGAAAAAGAGTTTAATAGTTGTTTTTTTTTTTAAATGGTGTATGAGAATGAAAACGAGTTGAGTGATATTTTCGGAGGAAAGACTTTTCACTGTGTGAATTTATGTAGGAAACTTGACTGACTTTGTTTCTAAGTCAATGAGTATGAAAACTGAAATGTATTCTTTTTTCCCCACTGTCTGCAGGGAGAGAAGTGGGTGGCAAGTTATGCACAAACATCTCTGAACTCTGTATTTTGTGTGTACTGTGTTAGACTTTCTGCCAAGTACTTTGACAAGTGTTAGAACATCTCCTGTTGCTGGCAAGAAAGCACCTTCAAGGTGCTCCATGCCCTTTGCTATTGCATCAAAACCGTGTCTTGTTCACCATAAAGTTTTCTGTATTTTCTCTTGGATAAAGGCCTTTATTTTTTAACAAGTGCATTTAATCACTGTTTGTTTTGTATGTGTAAGTGGAGTCAAGTCCTATCTGTCCTAGCAATTTAAGAAGGTACTTGGGATAAGACATCATGGGGCCACCTTACAACTTTGTGTATGCATGATGAGTTTTGACAACTGTTCTTAATATGGAAACTTTTACATTTCACTGTCTGCCAGTTTCACATTTTGTATTCATTTTTCTTGAAACAACCCCACAAAGTGTCTGAAACTTTTTTTTGCCTTGTTTGACTTTGTACAGTGTACTGAAAAGTATTATGTATCATGACTGTTTGTACTATTACATGTTATACTGTAACTACTGTTCCATGAGCTGTTTGTATTTCAGGTCTGTCAGTATAAA